ACGAACGCTATTGCACTTACAACAAAGAGTTTCTTACCACGACCACCTCGATCCAAAGCCTAACTGAGAAGGAATAGGTGGATATTGGTGGAATTATTGATCTTATGCGGAAGAACCATAATAGAATAGATATTTTTCTTGGATGGCATGCTAATAGCAAGCGTCAGGTTTCAAAGCGTTTTATAGCGGAGAACACAGTGACCAAACGAAAAGTGTAACTATAAACCTCGTAATAAAAATTAATATATAGGATTACCTGTATATGAAAAGTTACAATTACAATGGCTCCGCCGAATACGAAAAAGCAATGCGTTTCTTGCAGATAGGTTGCAATTGTGGTTGTTCAAAAATAATTCCGAGAGAAAAATTTGCCGAATTACGTGAGGCGTTTCAAGCTCTCTCTAGATCGGAACAAGATATATTTTTAATGGCTCAACTGAAAGCAATGAATGGCGAAGAAATAACTGCCAATCGATGTCTTAAAAAGAAAACGCGTACTAATAAGCGAACCTTTTATTATTGAGACCGCAATACATTTAGTACAAATTTGGAATTCTATGATATAATAATAGGTTACGGTATAAATTTAATAATAATGTTTTATTTTTATTTGACGTCGGGATCACTAAGCTTAGAAAAGAGAATACGCACTTTAATCTTTACAAAAAAAATACGTAACAATGGATGAGCCGATTTGATTAAAATTGAATCCCATATTTATAGTGTATATGATTGGTACGTCTGAAACACTACATTTAATATAACGCATATAACGCTATATTCTATTACATCATCATATTTATAGCACATAACTGGTCATATAATAATAAAATGATTTCTATTCGGGATCTACGCACTGAGATCGAATGGACCGAATATTGCCGGATGCCACAAGTTCGCACGAATGAAACCCCTGGTGAGTGGAAAGAACGGATCTGGGAACGTTTAATGTATTTTAGAGAAAATGGTCTGTTGCCAAGTCAGAGTAAAAAATATATTGAAGCTAGGAAATTAATACGATTTCCGGATGGCAGTTCATATGCTCCTGCAATCGGAATAGCAATATGTTTCTCTTGTGACCGATTAGTATACACCGGACAAAGAAAAAAGAATATAGGAAATTATAATCATATAGGGATGGAGAAACATTGGAAAATTTCATGCACTGGTAATAAATATTGCAAACTTAAGTATGAAGACTATTTAAAAATTAAACATAAACCCTCATCTGACCGTACATTTAATGACACGCGTGCCTTGCACTATTATGAACTATGGATGTCAAACGCTATTAGCAAACTTAAACGGGCAAGGGAAGTCGGGAAAAAGATGCGAGCATGTATCCTTATTCAACGTAAATGGATAGAATTCATGTATCATCCCAATAGTTTAATTGTAAAGCAGTTGGCTGAGCATTACACACTGTTATGGAGCGTTCGCGAAGACATACGTCACCAACGATCTCAAATTCTCTTGCTTGGCCGTATGGCTGAGTAACGTCAGAATTTACAAAATTTTACGCACGGTGCTCGATTATGTCAAGAGCAGAAAAAATACTCGCATCTATAATTTTAAATTTTATTTATTTAGTTCTAACGGTGTATCCCAACCCAAACGAATATAGAAAGGATCCTCTTTTGCTCTTGTCAAGTCAATTACGATGAACTGCCGACCTTGCAAATTTTTATCAAGTATATCAATAACATTTCGCCAATTTTTTGTATATCGTCTGGCAATATTCACTAGCTCATCATATGTACCTGCGCCATTAAAGAGTACGATATAATCCAGATTTTTTCTTATTAGTTTTGGACAGTC